GTGTGTTATTGTCTCTCCAGTATGAAAAGAACTCACTTTCATTTTCTCTTGCTCTCGCTGGTTTGAAAAATGTCTTCATTCAAACAAAAGAACAATGGATCCTCATGATGGAACAAAGCAGCACATCAAAAGACTACAACTGGAGTGAAGATGTTTACATTGAATTATAGGGTTAAACAGGTTGTTTTTTTTTTCTTTGCTAGAGCTTTTGTTCAGGCCAATTTGAGTTTTTCAATTGTCCAACCATTTATTTTATTGGTCAACTAACAAAGAAAGAACAACAAGTCCTCAAGACAGACAATTTATTTCATTATGGTATGGAATAAACACAGTGAGATCACATTAAAAAGCATTCCTTCCTCTACTAAATTAGGAGCTCCAATTGTGTTTCACTATCTCTTATTGAAAATGAGCCTATTAACTAATAGTGTGCAGGAAACAGTCTCGTAAAAAGCACGTTTTTCCACATAAATTGTGGTTACACCACACACTCACTCTATTGCCAACTATGTTACATTTGAATGCTATAAACTCATTGCCTGGGAGTAGCTCAATGCATAAGAACACATGGCCATAAATGCTTTAATCAGGCACAAAGGCAACTGGAGAATATCACCACTGTAAAGGTCAGCTTGAATAAACAATTTAATGACAGGGTTTTTTTTTCCACTTTTGAAGACAAGTCTTGGAAAGAACTAATTAGAACACACTGTAAGCTGTAGACTTACACTGGCACCGGTTATCAACACTGTAAGTGCTAGTGGGTTCAACACCAAACATACATACTAATGACTAGAAGGAGGACGAGGAGGGGGGTAACCGTTGTTGAAAGGTATATAAGAGATGAAAAGTAAAATATTGCCAATAAATACAGGCATATTCAGTAATAAAGAGATGTTTTGTATGTATATATTCATAAAAAAACGTATTTTAAAAGTGCGGATGCTTACTTGGATTTATTTAAATAGCACTCTGTTTTCCTTGAAAAGGTCACTCTAGCATGCAAAGGTTGCACCAGATCTCTTCTTTACCCACAGTTTGGATGCCAGAGGATGCCAAGAGCTTTGACTCCAGCATCACCCTTAACCCAACATGTGCTTATTCAATTACTGTCTGGGCACTATTGTTTTCCTCTCAACATCTGTGTTTTCTCTTTGATTCTTTCAGCCAGAGAAGTGGCTGCACAGCTAACATGAACACAGGCAGAAGTAACACTAAACTTGTATTTTTTACGCTTTACACTCTAAAGTGTGGCTAATGTTTAATATTCACAGAATCTACTGGAGAATAGAAAGTTGGCAAGTGTTTGTCTAATCCTTTTAAGGATTTTGTATTACCCAGGGACAATTTAATTTGATGAATGGAAGAAATGGATCCTGTAAGCTCTGAAGCTAACATTACACAGACACACAACACATGCACAGTACACAAACGAATTATAGTCTATTGAAATTGACAATATGTTCTGACCTAATTTAAATACTTTGTGCTTTAATGTAAGATGTCTCTATTGCTCTGAATGTGCTATAATCCTTAAAGAAAAGCTATTCTAGGTTTGTTTTTACATATGGTTAATTTTAGCACGATTCTCCTGTTCCAAGATGTTATGCAACATATAAACAATAAATCATGATAATATCCATGCATTACCGCCTCCCTCTGATTTGTATGCAGAGAATCTACAGTTAAAGTCTTGATGAAATGAGTTATGAACCTACATGGAATTACAGTGAAGCGCTCAGTCTCGACTGCCTTCAACCTTCAAACCGCACACAGAAGCCGTAATGACACAATGGGAGATTTGCAGCAGATATAAAACTGTAATGTAATTGACTGTGTGCCACAATCAGATAAGCAGGCCCATTTCACTATTTCCAACATCAAATGTCAAATGACTGCAGCTGAGTGGAGAGCTCAGTGATAAAACACTGCCGGCCCATTATGACCTGTCAGTCACGCAACAAGGCGGGTTCTTTAGTCCGACTGAAGGATGGGTTTTACATACTCAAACAAGGAAAAAAGCTGTGACACAGTGACAGTTCCTTTTTCAGGCTTTAATGCCTCGTTTCCCTCTTATCACCTGACATTAATGTTACAATGCTGCTTTCCCATTCTTCAGTTTGGGGAGTTAGCAACCAGGTTTTCAGCACCTGATAAATCTCAAGCCCTAACTTGAGGGAGGGAACTGTATTTATCTTCACTGTGATCATTTTCAGCTCTGTACACAACTAATGTGCATGCAGGCAGTTGGTTGGAGGCTCAACTCGCCCTGAGGAATAACTCCCTTTGCTTATCATCCGTCAAAGTGGCTGCCTCTTTCCACAGAGACGGAGAGAGACGAATGAACACGCTGCTGTAGTAGACTGTTTTCCATGAGAATAACAGATCAGGTCACAATACTCACACATATGAATCTACGATCATAGAGCAGCATATTACATTACAGGCAGACTGTATGAAAGAAACCTCCCAAGTTAACGTGGTTGAAAAGATGATGACAGTTCTCTGTGCTTCCTTTTATGTTGTCTGTGGTGCGACTAAATGACACGCTACGATAATGACAATTGTCAGCTCAAAGTTGCACGTTAGGCTTCTCTCAACAGAATGAAACAGTTAGTTGTTTTGCAGGGTTTTCGATAAAACGCCTGACAACTCATGGACTCCTTATTTGCCTCTTCAATACAAAGAAACCCGCTGTTAGCGAGCTGTAACCTCACTCTTCCCCTTTGCTGCAAAAAAGGGATTTCTCTGTTCAGATTCTATCCAGTGTGTTAGTTTGTCTTTAGACTAGTATTATGTTGTTTTAACTGGATAACCCAAGACAATGAATAGATTTCAGCATGTACAAAAGAAGCTGCCAGAGCCTCAACCGAAACGAGTAAAAAAAGAGCACATCACACCCATTTTAGCAACTGTACTAGCACCCTGTCTCTTTTAGAATCAATTTTAATATTTTATTACTATTTTACAAGACTTTGGAATGCTTTTATGTTGTTTCTTGTTGCTTCACTTATTTTACTCAAATATTTTACTCTGTACTCTGTTTCATTGTATTTAAAATTATTAGCAAATGTATAATCTTCTAAATCTAAATATTTGAAACATTTTTACCCCGATTTTATGTAAAAGCACTTTAGATAAAATTTATGTATGAAATGTGCACTAATTTATTATTCTCACGACTGAAAAGAAATAATATTTTTACCCTTATCAACCTTGGAAACAAAGAACTCTCGAATTGCTAAGCTACACTGGATGTGCCGTGCTGTAGCAGTAACACATCTGCCCCTGGAGAAGCCCGCCAAGTTAGTTAACCACCATGGCAAACCATGAAAGAAATCTGTAGGGCTCGCTCCATGACAGAAGTGTAACTAGCTGCCAGTCCATTTTTTTTCCCAAAGACAATTGGATCCACAGGCTTTGTGGATTTTCAGTCAAAAAGTTGAAAAACTGTCAGCTATGAGGCATCATCTCCTTCAGCCCCTTTGGCCCTGTTTCCTCTCTAGTCTAGCCATGCCTGACAAGCCATTAGAAGGCCTGTCTGACTGCGGCAATGGATGGGCCATACTCCAGAGGACACGGAGTCAGATAAGGCTTAAATCATGAGAGGACAGCATATAGAAGACGGCAGCAGAGGCCCTCACTCTTCACTTCCACACTATGCTAAGCAATAAAAGGGAGAGGCTAGATTTACTCTCCAATTAACCATTTTCTCTCTTTAATTTCTCTCCTAGTTTATGTCTTTGTTCTTGCTCACCTCTGTCCTTCCTTGCCACATAACAAGTGTTTCTTTTTTGCTGGGGCATGCCGGATAGCCACCCTCTCATTGGCTGCTCTGGAGCCCTTTTGTCACGTTTGCGCACATGTCTTGCTGAATTTTTTATGATGGGTAGAGAGTCACGAATGTCACATTGACTAGACAGCAAACTGTAAATACTTCTGACAGGAGCTGTTGGGGAAAAGGCTACCTAATGGCTGAATGGTTCAAAAGCGACAAGAACATATAAAATGGCCATCCTTTTTTATCTCAGCTATGTTTTCATCTTCTTCTCTTTCTTTCTCTCGCCGTGTGTGACGTAAATATACAAGCAAACATAGGTGACACACACACACACAACCTCATAAAACACACATATAGGGAGGAAAACTCCAGACACACTTGTTCGGTATTCATGTGCAACATGTGGCAAACAGCTTCATCATTAGGTTTCATAAAGACATCATCCATTTTAAAATAATTAACACTAATGGACCTAGGAGTAATTAGCTATTCACTCTCACATTTGGTTTGGTTTAACTGACTTCTTATTGGTTAAATTGGTTCTTAATTTAGATATTTAGGATTTAGTTTCTCCCGAGAGAAGAAAACAATGTATGTGACTGTTTAAGGTGGAGCCACATGAAGAGACAAATTTGGATTCAAACAGTCAGGACATAAAATGTGTAACGAACCAGTTTTGTGTGGGTTTTGGGCATTACAATAATTTTATTTTAGTTTATTCCAGAGGCTGAACAGGGTAATGGTAATAATAATTAAAATTTAAGTGGTAAAACTCCCTCCTACTGATTACTATAATGATTCTTCATTACCATAACAATATTCATCATTCTCATCAGTTACATTCATCTCAGATCACCCATACATGCATTCATAAATATACACGGGTATGGGCTGTAAAACCTAATTTTTTGTGCCTTCTGCAAGGACGCAGAAAAAAATATTCTGTTTGCTTTCCTTTCCCAACATGTGTGTTTCCTTGCATTTAATGGAAAGCACAACAATCTGGCCTGAATGACACAGCTGTGCATACATTGGCAAATGTTTTTTAAATCACATTGTGATGAAAAGCAAACAAAACACACACATATAGTGCACACACAGGCAACACATACCTATATCAACTTTCCACTGCTGTTTGCCAGATTCTTGCGAGTCAGGGAGCGGGTGCAGGAAATCAGATACAAAAAGTAGCACCACGGGGTGAGAACAAACTGTTTACCTTGTAGAGGAGCATGATGACCTGTCGCAATTTGAGCCTGTGGAAAACGCAGACGTCATACAGCGCCGATATAGCCAGGACGGTCACTCCGAGCTCCTTCCACAGCATGCTGCATGCAGCACAGATCAGGCTGCCCAAGAACCAGGCCATGAGCCGCCAGGGCCCAGCCTGGCCCCGCAGCTTACAGTGACGTATGTAGCACAGCAGGGACAGCAAGAAGAACAGGGCGGCACCTTCATCAGCCCGTCCGACGACGCCCGCCACCGCCTCGGTGTGGATGGGATGAGAAGCGAAGAGCAGGCCGGCCAGCAGGCTCCACAGGCCTCCTCCAAGCAGCAGGCGAGCTAGGGAGGTAAACAGGCCTGTCACAGCACCGTGGACGGCCACATTAACCAGGTGGTAACCCCAAGGCTCCAGCCCACCCACAGCGTGGTTGAGGCGGAAGGAGAGGGTGCAGAGGGGCCGGTAAGACTTATGGCTGCCACTGTGCGTGAGTAAGGTGCCCCAGAAGTCATCATAGAAGATGTTTGTCCAGGGGGTCTCTGGAAGCAGGTCCTGATTAGTCTTGATTGCACGGCTGTAACGAGAAAATGAAAAGATTAGAGGAGGACTTCTGGGTACAGAAAACATGATGTATACTGTAGGTGTACAGATAAAATGTATATTTGATGTAGCATTGAATGCTGACATTTCTGTCTGTTCAATTAAAGTCGAACTGCCTCCTGCCTGACCACTTTACAGCCCTGCTACATTCAATAAAAAGTGCTCCATCAGACACAGTGTTTATGGCACAGTACACTGCAGATTTTCTGAGGAGGATGCTCAGCTATTCTTTACCAGTGCGCACTAAGCAGAAAATATAGGTTGCTACGAAATAAAACTTTGCATTTGCTTACAGCTTCACCCTGAGAGTGTGGTCATGTGGCATTCACAAACAGAAAATCAGAGGGTGAGCTTGAAGCTCTGGGCAGCTCTGCCACCACAGCCACAGCTCTTACAGCTGTGGACTGGGGATTAAGCAAGAACGCCACACCCTTTACCACAATCAAACACTGGCACGCAGTAGGGGAACGCCATGTTGGCAAAATGCAGCTCGGAGAGAAGGCGACCTGTGGTGACGATCGACATGGCAGCTCAGTGCAGGGGACGATGCAGCAGTGGTGTAAAATGGAGTGTCATGTCCATGCTTAAGGACATTTGTAAACACCAAATGTGTACTTTTAGCCTGTCTTGGCAGGCAGGCCACTAAGTAAGGGGCCAGTTTGACTTCCCCTCAATCAGGGATGAACCTGCGTGACCTAACCTAATGATGCAACATCAGCCACAAGCTGTGTGTGTCAGTGGCTGGGGGCGGGGGCGGGAGGGGCAGCCAGCAGGGGTCAAGAGAGGAAAAAAAGGAAGGCACGTTTCTCTCTTCAGGAGTGTTAAATGTTTTTCCAATCATTTCTGCCAGGTTACGAGATGTCTGAGAGAGCCTCTGCTGCTTTCACTGGGATATGGTAATGCTGATGATTTGAAGGCAACAGAATGAGCCTCTGCAGGGAGAACCCGGTTGGCAATAGCACAACAGAGGTGTTGTAATTAAAGGCGTGATAGATGGGACATGTTAGTGATAACAAGCCAAGCACACCGGGTTGTAATGTGTCCTCACGGCAGCCACAATTAACGCACTCAATTTGTTCAAAGAGAGATGGGTGGAGAAAAGGTGGGAGGGAGACAGAGACAATACCAGAAAAGAAGTAAATTATTCTTTTTTATCTGTGAATAAATATGTGAGGAAAATGAACAAACCAGAAAAGCAGTCAACTTAAGAGTAATAAACAGCTTCCTCTGCTGTTCTGAAGGTCTTAAGAATAACACTTTACTTTGGCAGCTGACACCTCTCAGTACCAGAAAGCTCATGGGGAGTTTGGTGGGGTGCAGTGGGGATTGCAGCATTCATCAAATCACAAAATGAATTGGCTCTCTCTGAGAAGGGGGGGCACACATAGCTCATCTTATGGTGGATCTAAGGGAAATAAATACTACCTGGCCTCAGGAGGTTGGAAGGGCCATACAAATATTCAGCTGGGATATAATAGAAATGCCTTGGATGTCAGCGCACAGATGATTGGGTTTCTCTAGCCTCTCTAGTCAGGCCGACGGAAGCTCCACCCTCCACCAGCAGGCTTAAGAGTCGGTAGCCCAGTTCTCCACTTCATGACTCAGATATGCCAGTTTATTTTCTCTGGCCCATTTGTCAAGTGAGATCTTCATTCCACCGCAAGATGCTCACATAAGAGGCATTATGGTTCAATTACATCTCAAAGCCATTTTGGAGACAAGTGTGCTCTTTTTCCATTGCACAGAGTGGTGGAGCCAGTGGGGCCAGATACATTATATATTGCCTCAAACCACACCAGATTTTTCTGGCAGCACAGCACAGACAAAAGCCAGTGCCAGTCACTCAAAAGCCCACTGCGTTTACAGCCTTGGCTTCCTGAGTCTCCTGCTTTTATGTCACAGAGGCAGGCAAGCACCTAGCGTACTGTGGTTGACAAGCAGAGAATCGAGGAACGCAGAGACAGACGGGGGTGTAACCTCTTAACCCACTCTGTAACAACTACTCTGAGCGGATGAATGGGATACACCCACATCTGATTTTACACATTTGCATCACAGTCCAACTAGTCATGGTCAGTCTTCCCAATCTATGACAAATCATTAATCCAGTGAAGGTCTTCAGACCCCATCATCAGACCTTCTACAAGGGAAGAGGCCAGCTGGAGAGGTAGATTGAGTTTCTGCGGCTGGCCGGGCCTTTTTCTCAGTAGAGCTGGCGGCAGGGAGGACCTCTCCGTGCACTGCAAACCTTTTCCAGCCGGGAGCACATTCCTCGCCCAACCGCGAGCCTGTACGCCGACTCCCAGAGGAACGGAGGAATCATGTGGCCCCTAACAGGAGAAGCCCCTGAAAAACTTTTCTACCTCCCATTACTCTGTCTCGAGCATCTACTTCTTGCTGCTGACCTCAATTCTTCAACAACTTGTCTGGCTCTCGATCATGTGCCTCAATCTGTTTGCTAGTCACACTGCAGACTGAAACAGGGGGTGAAGTCAGAAACTTAAGTTTTGTCCTTGTTTGGAATTTATTATGTGAGCAAAGTCTTTGATTATTTAAGTAAATGCTCGTTTACTTATGTAAATACAGTACGGATAATGCTATGTAAGCTTTCTGTGCCGATGCATTACACTGTACACAATAACACTAATTGGAATAACTGGGGTGAACCCAGGGACCAAAGAAATGTTAACAGCATTTCCTCAACTCAATATTTTTGAAAGTGTTACATGACTTTACCAAAACAAAGACGTGTGATACCGCTGTGGCTCATATCAAAGGCCTGACTAACTCTCCTCACAGCTTCACAAAAAGATCACTTTCACTCCAACACCACTTCAGAAAGCACAGACAGGACTATGTAAATAGCTAATTTCCTCTACCATGCAGAGACTATTCCCAGTTTGTCTAAATGTCTAAATGATTTCTTATTCATGAACAAATTATTAGTTTTTCATTTAGACTAAAACCATCAGACAAGGCTCTTGTCTGATGATTTTAGTCTATGCTATTTTACATTTGCATAAATGTATCATTTGCATAAAAAGCGTCTAACCAACGACAATTGCTGACCATGTAATTATAAACTCAGAGTAAAACAATTTCCTACATGGGCGTACCCCAAACCCTTTCTGCTGAGTTCAAAAGCATTTCCATGAAAAATGCTCCTGCTATCTCCTTATCTCCTTAGCTGAGAAATAATCATGTGAGAGCTAACCTCTTTTCCCCTGGAACAGTTTCACTCATAATGTGAATGCACCAGCAAGGTGGAGAAAAATAGGCAGGCTCAGTGAATACAGGATCCCACACAAAGAGGCTATCTAAAATTGAAGATTGATTGGCTTTTCCATGCAGTCTAAGCAGTGGGCGCACACGCAGGAGATGAGACTGGATATTAGAAAGGAGATTGAAAACCAAGGACATGTCATCAGGTTTTTCCCTTTACAACTACTCAATGAATTTGAGATGAAGCTTTGAGTGAAAAAAGAGCTGTATGACCAGAATAAAACCTTTGTAAAAACCCTCCAAAGCCTGAAGGACCGTACATAAAAAAAAAGGTAAACTATTCTCACCAAAGAATGCATATGCTGGTCATCTGTCTGTAAATCACACAGGGACAAAGCTTCATTTCAAAGTGAGAGACACTTTGTGTGGCTGAAAATATCTGGACAAGGACATTTGACATGTAAACAAATGACCCCATTGTTCCTCTTTTTATAGCATTCATAGCAATCTCCTATTTGAGATCCTTGTTTGAGAATACAAGACAATGTAAGCTAAAGTTAAATTAACACATCAACGCTTGGAGCGGGAGGGTGAGGCGAGGGGGTCGTAGTCTGTAACTACACTGTTAGATACCACTAAATGCTACACATTGGACCTCCTTTAGAAAGAGTTAAATGAGAAGATCAATACCACTCTCAGGGTCTGTCGGCTCAATATGAATATGAACCTTACCTTAGCTTAGCATAGACTCTTGAAACAGGGGGAAACAGTTAGCATGGTTCATATAAGAAAAGCGGCATACCTAAAGCTCACTAATTAGCACACTACATTAATCTGTACAAAAACAGAAGTGTAAAAATATATCTCTATCACAAAAGAAAGGAAAGCATAATTCTCTCAAATTCTGTGCATGGGGTTTCACCAGAGCACACTTGGAGGAACAAGCAAACAATTAAATATCAATCGTAAGCCAATTGTTTTTTTAAAAGAATAACAAGACAAATTATGCCTTAAGATCCTTAAAAGAAATAATAAAAAAATCCAGTCACAGATGAACAAAAGATGACAAGAGGAAACCACTTAATGATAGTCATACTGATTCCACAGCGGGTGACAAAAGTACAGACAAACTAGTGCCCAGTTTAGATATCGAACCACTGAAGAGAAAGTCAGCCCTTTAAAATACAAGTCATATAAAGATTTCCATTTGTGACAGCATGTGAAAAGAAAATGAACTCTGGTGGGATTTTGGGGAAAGTGATCGAAGGTCTGCCAACTATATGTCATCACCCAGCTTCAATATCTGAAAGAGGCACAGTGGTATTTTTAGACTGCCCACAGAGACACCGGGGTAGCCCGCTCAGTGCTGTTTCCGGCAGGCTCTTTTGTCTAATGTTTCTTCCCATGGGCATGCTAGCAGGTCATTAACGACATACCTCCACTGCACTTATGCTACCTAATATATAAAATAAGTATTTTCCTATGGCCAATAGTATTCAATTTGTTCTCTTTCCTAAAATGCTGTATAACCAAGAAAAACTATTAAAAATGCCTTGACAACATAATTTCAATTCAGACTATTTAACATATAACATATTTCTGCTCTCAAATCTCTTTATGAAATGAAAGATAAATAACGTCCTATTTTGTGCCTTTAGGGTGCTGTGATTAATATATTCAGTGGCATCCAAAAAGCAATCCAACTCTCCAAAACCTCATTTGAATACATCAATTATTAATATAGACAGTGAT